AACCCTCCATCTCTCCAATAGCCTTCCATAGAGCTCCTCTACCTTCATCTGCCAACAAGAAGTAGAGAAGCCCCATAGACTTCTTAATTATTTAATTGTCATTTCTATAAGAAGTGATTTCCCTCATCATTTCTAAATAAAAAGCCTCAGTTAGTTGCTTGATTTAGATCCATGCCTAGTCTGTTAAATAAAAAGGAAAACGTTTTTATTATAGTTGTGGGGTCTGGCCTGGGGCTGACCTGAAAGAAAACTATACATTTTTAAAATGTGTTTAACTTTTAGCAATCATTAAGTCTAAGGGGCCGATTTATAAATCTTTCTTCCAGCCATACAATGGGCGAATGCCATTCGGGTGCCATTCCCGTCACTAGATGGAACCAAGGAGCATAGGAATAGCCTATGCTCCTTGGCTCCTTCTAGTGGTGGGAATGCTTTGCAAATGGCTTTCCCAAGAGATATGACTGGACAAAAGATTTCTAAATTGGCCCCTTTATGTCTTGTCAGTTAAGCAATGGAGGGCCTGAGGGTGGAGGAGGTAGAAGACACATTGTTGGGCTGTGTTTATGACATCAGTTGTGCTTAATCCAACCCTGAAAGCAGCTCATTACAGTAATGAAATAGAGGTATGGCAAAATCTGTATTTGTGTATTTCCACAACAGAAAATCAGGGCTCTTATGTGTAGCCAACTGAAGGTGCCACTGTTGACCCTCGATGTTAGAATCTTACAGTTTTCTACAGGCTTCCAAAGACAAATTCATCCCACATCATGGCAGCAAATCTTTGTAGCTCTCCTTGACCCTGGTGGTGAGTGGAGATGAGCTCGGGCTTGGTGCAAACCCAGTTTTCCTAAGTTCACCCAAGCCTACTCAAAACTGTGACCGACACACCCACCTACAGGCCCAATCAGTTGCGGCAGGGCATTCCCCGGCCTTTTGTGATGTATAGCTATGGGGTGGTAGCTATAATGCGCCTCTCTGCAACTGATTGGGCCTGGGCTTATCACTAGTGGGAAGATTCATTGCCCCCTCCTACTCACAATGGTCTTGATAGGTTGAAAGCTCTGCTTTTAAACCAAGCTATCATTATCACTGGCCTGTGAGTTTTCAATATACTTCTATGGAGCATTCAGCAGAAGTTACATTATACAGCTTTTCTGAGCTCTGCACCTTGTAGAGGATTCTCCATAGCTACATGCAGAAAACTCACTCAGAACCGTGACAATGGTAGCCTAGATGGAGCTCAGGACTCAGCCCGTCATGGCCATACCACAACTGGGGAGGAAATCCCCCTAGTGCGGGAACCTGCTTAGCCGTGCACAGTTCCACAATGGTGAAATCCACCCACAATGGTGAAATCCACCCAATAAAGTAGGTGTACACCATGAATTTAGGTCCCCAAAAAGCTTGCTGCTGGTTTGCTGAATATCGGATTTGAATTGGGTGTATATTCAAACTGCTTCTCATCACTGAGAGTCTGGAGAGTTTATGTAGGTTGTAAACGGTCGTGGGCTGGGTGTTTATGTTTTGTCACATCCTGCTCTTCTGTCTTTGCTCGTGCTGGGACTTGCACTGAGCTTTTCCACCTTTCTTCATCACAGTCATTTATACAAAAGACCTGAAACTGGAAAAACTCCCTTTTCATGAACACCTTTGAAACTGTTGTGTAGATGAAAGGAGAGATGGTTCGATTAGATGGATCAATGAGAGGCTTTTCAGCTGCTTGGAATAGTGTGACTGTCCTCCTAACATGAAAGAGGCCCTAATGAGCATCTGGGAATGGCTATTAACTTGTTCATTGCTGATCTCATCAGTTAGAAGGAAAACTTTATACATACATTCTATGTATGTTAGGTTATTTAAAGCAAACCTGTGCCCTGCCCACTCTGGGCAAAGCAACAGCTTCACATTAACAACAGCCCCACTCTCAATGCATACTAACCTTACCTGCACTACTTCAACTCTGTTCATTCAATAGGAGGAAAGAAAATACCGGGTACATTTTGTTTTGTTTTATGGGTAAAAACCTGTCCCCTGACAGCGTGTTGCATTAAAGGATACTTTCTCTTTTGTGGAAGCAGTGGTTTCTCTGCAGAGGTCTGACACATTGCTGAGACAGGGCTATAGTTTTCCAATCAGTAAAGCTCATGCTTACTGCTGATTGGAGAGCTCCAGCTCTTACTCAGCCAAGGGACATATTGTACTTCTGCAGAGAGACCACTGCTTTCACAGAGAGTGCAAGGGACCTTCTCTACAGGCACGGAGCAGGATTTTCTACTCAGGATGTCCTGCCTTCTACGAAAACAAAGTGTAAGACCTTGCAAAACTTGTTTTTAGCTGCTTCAAAATGAAAGTTCAAATGCGCTTTAAATTATTCTTACTTGATATTAGTATTTTAAAGTCCATTTCCGGTCAGTGTTTTTTTGTTAATTTTTGGGCACACCTTGTGAACACTTTAATATTTGATTTTGTCATTTAACTGGAATCCTGCTCTGTTTTCCTACTCCACCCTTCTCATCAAAGTGTCTTCCCCATTTTAACAACAGATCTCAGATGTAGACAACAGGACTTGGCACTGCTGGCTGCCTGCCCGTGGTTGATCAGTATCTACATCCTGTATAATTATTTGTCCTGTGAAAAGCTGCACATGCTTGGTCTTAGAAAATAACGTTTTTAATTTTCTGTTCATTTAAAATTACACCATTGTTGGTATGCTTTGCTTCCTGCACTTTCACAAGAGTGGGTGCCCAGCTCACGTCAGGGTCACCCCAACAATCTATACCTTCATCCTATACAGCTTCATCATCGAAGGCGGCAAAACACACTGCACTCAGTGCACTGCGTGTGCAGAAACTCATGCAGATCTGGTCTGCATTTGATGTGAACAAGCCCTCAGTTGCACCCTTGATTTCTCCCCACTGACATTCCCGGGGGCTCATAAAACTGCATAAGGCTCCTTACACATGGGCATTCTGAACAGGTCTGCCTTTCAGGGTGATCCCCTGCTGATTGGAACGCTGATGGCTTCAGGATGGAAGGAGGATGGACGCACTCACTTTAAAGTTAAACTCGAACAGCTTTATTGCTTTACTGTATAGAGAGTAGGCAGAAGGGTTGAGGAAGCGCAGGATACCTAAATGTTTATCTGTCTAGAATACAGTCTTTGATCTTCTGCATATCCTTCTAAACTCCCTTTCTCTCTGGGCTTTGCTGGCTAACACTTAAAGTGACATTAAACTCAGGAGTTAAATCTTAAAAATAAATTTAAGTACCTTAACTGGTGACCAAAACGTATCTTATTTGTATATCACTCGGCTGTAGATCCTCCAATCATCTCTGAATTGGTGCTGACACTGTCCTTCCTTCTGGAGGGTGGCTACTTTTGTTCCCCATGGTCCCTGTGTGTGTTGTATAGTAGCCACCGCTCCAAGCTCGCTCCCGTGATGACCTACAATCTCACGTTTAGTTCATTACTTTGTATCAAGACTGTGGTCCATCATGGGAGCGAACTTGGACTCTATGCTTAGAGATCACTAACAAGAACATACAGGCATGCTGAATACAGCCCACTACTTTGTACACAATCACAAAATGGTTAAAAAGGTAATAAAAAAAATGCTATGTCTCTCCAAAAATATGGATTGCATTTTTAAAAGCAACTAAAGGAGAATTATGGTGAGAGTGAAATACAGAATTGATTGAGAACTTGATCACATACTGCTGATCGCTCAGCTCCCGATCTTCTCCCTGTAGGGATTCCCCCTCCTGTCTCCCACAGGGATTCCCCCTCCTGTCTCCATTCCTCCAGTGCTGACTGGAAGAGTGGAAGGGGGGGGGGGGGGGGGGGCAGGCGCCCCGCCCCACCCCTGCCATACAGAGGGGCGGGGGGGGGGGGGGGGGGGCACAGCTGCCTCTAGAAAGCCAGCTGTCAATCAGGCAGCAGGGTGGATACCGAAAACGTCAGGATCAATCCCAGCTGCAGCGCGGCTCTGCGCTGTCAACATATAGCGGGCAATAGCCTGCTATATGCTGAGTTTTGGGTCACTGGAGGACATTAGTATATGTCCTCCTGTGACCCTAAAGAGAACTATGGCAAAAAAAAGGTTGGGCCATAGTTCTCGTTTAAGTACTTTCTCTTTCAGTATTAATCTCAATCCCCTGTACAGCAGAGTTAAGACTGGGAAAGGGAGAAGCAGCACGAAGAGTCAGATATTCTGCAGAGCTCATGTGCTAACAAGGAACATGCTTATAGCAGGAGAGAGCAGAGTGAAAGAGATAAGCTCATCAGCCTGCTGTTCACCTAAACTTTTTTTCTGGAGTTGGGTTGTATACAGGGCTGGATTTACTCTCTCTGCTTCCCCAAGGCCAGGTTCCTCAATGTGCCACCCTGTATGCAGGCTGCATACAAGTGATCTCGGCAACATCGCACAAAACAAGGGGCGGGCTTCCCCGCTGTACATTTAGCCCTGCTTGCCCAAAGCAGGGATAAATGTAGAAAACAATTACCTGCCCAGCACCCGGGAGTGTATGTCCTAAACGTTGGGAGATAGGAATTCTACACCCCTGCTGCCCCTATACTGCTTGCTGGCCCGAGACCTGCCTCTGTTGGCCTTGCGGGTAATCCGGCCCAGGTTGTATAAAAAGCTTAAAAGAAGTTTGCCGACAGTTTGTAAGCTGATATAGTACTTTGCTCTCATTGACTGTAAAACTTCTGGCTTTGTACCTGCAGGTGCATTTGTAGTTTGCTGGACTCCAGGGATGGTGGTCTTGCTGCTGGACGGTCTCAACTGCACCCAGTGTAGACTCCAACAGGTGAAACGGTGGTTCCTTCTGCTCGCCCTGATGAACTCCGTCATGAACCCCATTATCTACTCCTACAAGGACGAGGAGATGTGGAGGACTTTTAAAGGAATGATGTGCTGCACCTTTTACAGCGGGAGGCGGCGCAGCTCACGGTTTCCATCCACGGTTAACAGCACGCGGAGCAACGACACGACCACGAGTCATTACTTGGAGGAAATCGGCGGCCAGTCTTCGACCATAAATGCCTAATTACAAAAATAGAATGCAATGTCTACAGGAACTAGAACTGAAACATATGTTATTTATGGCCGTAGAAGAAACTTACCACATAGAAACCTTAATGAGAAGTGACATATTACTGTATATAGACCTAAGGCAGACTTTTCCTAAGTGGATGATGTAAATAGAACTTTTTATTTTGTGAATTCTGTGCACAACCGTTCATTACATGACCTGCAGACCTGAAATTCTAAACAATGTTCTCATACCACACAAAATGTTCACAGCACTCTTGCATGTAAAATAATAAATGTTTGATAAGGTTCTGGTTTATTTTTCATATCAGACACTAGTAAATCAAATGAGAAGAATTGCAATTCTTCACACCGTCACTTTGCACATTCATGGCCAATGGGCACTGAGACTGTATAATACGTAAGTAACTATACACTGAGCGGCCAGATTATTATGACCACCTGACGTTTGTAGGCAAATTAGCTATAATTAGCTATAATTTTGCGCTGAAGTTGCGAGAGGGCCAGACCATTATAAATAGAAGTCTCAGCGGCCATTTGCCATGAATGTTCAAAGTGACAGTATCTCTTCAAACCATAATATTTGTAGTATACGTTCAATCTATTGGGGTTTTTTTTAATGTTCATTCTTTAATATAAGATTGATTTTTTTAGTTAGGTTGTTACAAATTGCTGCGCATAAATATTTCATATTCACTACTTGCAGTGAGTAGATGGTAAGCTCAAGTCTGTTCTCTAACTGCTTCTGCGTTGTTTTTAGCACTATGCTCTGAATAGCCTAAGAAGCCTTGGTAAGCTGATCTTCCATTAAAGGAGTTGTAAAGCCCCAGCATATACTGTCCTGTTATGTGCTTTGCCTGTCTTTCCCTGCTGCTTGTTGTGATGTAATCTCCATCTATTAAAACTACATATCCCGTCATGCATTTCTTGCAGCAAACAATGATGATGTTACATTGTTCAGACGTTCAGTTGTAGTTTAGAAGGCAGGCTTGGTGAGAGTGCTGACACCAGGAAGTGCATATTTACGGGGCTGAGCGAAATTGTGTCAGTGCATTGAGGAAGTACCTCCTACGTGCATCTTCACTAAGTAAGATTACAATTTCTAGATCGATGTGGTTATTAGGAATGGGATACAACTTATGGAAATTCAATATAGAATGCATATTTATTTTTAGTCATTTGCCACAGATACTGTTTAATCTGCTCTATTAATAACACAGACACAGGTAAATGGCCGGAAAAGTGGGACACACCCCTCTCTCCAGCTCATATGGAGTCAGCTGGATCTTTGAGTTAGATACAGTATACTCTCATGCTGTGGGGAAGCTAGACATTTTGTCACTTAGGGCAAAGACTCAGAGTTTCTTCCCCGCCAAGGGAGAGGTTCATACTCCACACACCCAGTGGCACCCCTCCTAAAGCAGCACGCAGGGGAAAATGCCCCACCAGTCCCCCTTAGCTTCGGCCCTGCTCTCATGACAGATTCCCTTTAATTTTCTTTTCCAACGATTAAAATAATTATCTGATATACATTATTTTAAATTACATACTGTGGAAATTCATCAGCATTGGCTAAAGTTGTCCATGCACAGGCAGATGGTGCTGCCCCATAGATCTCCGTCTCAGCATTCAGCTACAGATGTGCCTATCCATGTTGATGGCCAAGTTCAAGAATACAGACTTTGTGTATCATTGGTGAAAATTTCTATTGAGCAGTGGAAAGTTGAGGTGTTCATATAGGAGCCATGTACAGGCATCAGTACTCACATCTTTAATCCCAGCCACTAGACACCTGACCATGTATCTGTTAGCCTTGGTGATGGCCCTATACACGACAAATCACAGTCCGGAATGCCCATTTCTATTCGATAATTAGCCAAAGATGAACACATAAAGTAGACCTAGTCTTGGGCAGCTTTATTCTTCAAACAGTGCAAGACAAGTCAGTTGTGAATGGTTGTAGCACTTACAGTAGGTAATCTGCAGTTGTTCATTTACCTATACCTACTTTTTTTAACCATTCCCCGGTGCTGTGTAGCCACCATATTGATTAACACTTAGCGACACTTCCTGTTCCTAGACCCCACCTCTTGATGACTGTTTACTTTTTATGTCAGAAAATGTTAATGTGAACCTATACCTAAAATCTAAAGTTAGGGTCACAGGGGTACATATTAACCACTTGCTGCTGGCCCTTTATCTGGGTCCTAACATCAGGAGGTGGGAGTCCTGATCATGTGACTGTTGCGATTGGCTGTGACGGTGGAATGACCCGCTTGCTCCTGATCATTTACAATGACTGGAAGCTGTGTGAGACAGCTTGGTCAATGTGCTGTGAGCACATTCTCATCACACAACAGTGGAGCCCCAATAAGGCCCACCTGCCATGCTGATGCATATATGTGTTGCACCTGTGGAAGAGGTTAGTATATTTTAATGTGACAAGGCAAATCATTAACAAAAATGTACCTATTTTATGTAATCCCTGGCTAGTAGCAGCAAAGCATTCTGGCACTTGTGTACCTAGGCACTCTCCGTTTCTCGAGCCTTAAAGGAGCCTAACAGGAGTTTACATCATCAGAGGCACGGCCTGCCATTCTGATCACTGAATTACATTAATAGTTTAATCAACAATTCCTCATAGGCTCACGTGAGGCTCAAGGAATAGAGTGCCTAGGCACATATAAATATATATAAGTGCTCTGCTGTTACTAACTAGGGATCATATTCTAAAGGGCCATATTGTATTGATTTGCCTTCTTGTCACATGAAAGCATATCAATATTTACTAAATAATCCATGTTAGCCTAACTTTAAGCATAGGTGCATGTTAACATTTTCTGCCATATATAATGGCATGGCCATGGGTTGACACTGATCATATTGGTCAACCAGGCAGTTTTTAGCAACTGACTTTTTGGGAAAAGAACCTAGCACTGAAATGCAGCGTTGCTTTTCAATGTACTATATAGATGTTAAATATGACTGTATTGTATGTATATATATATATAAGTGCTGCATCCCAACATTAATATTTGGATGTATTGCTGTTTGTAGCCTTCATTTAGTATGTACACTGAGTCAGCTTCTCAGTATAGAAGTAAAGGAGGGCTGCTGAGTTGCTCCACTACTATTGTTTGTAAGAAATCGCCTGTGGTTTGCTGGTCAGATCAGAAGAGTTTGATGTTGCAATTAAAGTTTCTTGTGAAAACATGTCTCTTCTAGTTTCCTTACAGAAAAAAAGTGTGAAAATTACTCTTAGCCGGCGGTAGCCATACACATGGAAGGTATAGGGACTAAGTGATGGGGGAATGGGACTGGATCTCTGAAAAATTAATTAATAAAAATGAATGAAAATGAAAATTAATACAAAAATTAAATTAATTCTCTTTATTATTGAACCTGAAATCAAAGTAGAGCAGGTATCTAAACCCAAAACTAAAGATTTTATATATAACAGCTTATCAATCCTAAAATGTAGCTTTTTAAAAAAAAATAAGTTTTCCTTTTTTTTTTTTTAGACTTTTTTTCCTTTATTTTCATCTAGTAATCCAGCTAGTAACACACTTCCCTAACAGCTGACTCGATGCTAAATGCCCGGGAAGCCGGCTCCATGTTGCCCTACGGCACTGCCAGTCAGAGGAAATCATCCTCTGACCGGAAGTTCCAGTATTATTATTATACAGGATTTATATAGCGCCAACAGTTTGCGTAGCGCTTTACAATGTAAGGAAGACATTTCATTGACAATACAATCCAAGACAAGATAGTAAGGAGGGACCTGCTCGTGAGGGCTAACAATCTAAAAGGGAGGGGCCAGTGATACATGAGGAGGTAGCTGTGTGGGGATGAATTGTTAGAGAACGTGATGGTTCAGTGGTTAGTTTGAGGTGGGATAAGCTTCCCTGAAGAGATGAGTCTTAAGGGATCGCCTAAAGGCAGTCAGAGTGGGAGATAGAAGGACAGGTTGGGGTAAAGGGTTCCAGAGGATGGGAGAGACTCTAGAGAAGTCCTGGAGGCAAGTATGGGAGGAGTTGACAAGGGAGCTGGAAAGCAGAAGGTCTTTGGAAGAGCTGAGGAGACGGTTAGGGTGATACTTTGAGACAAGGTTTGAGATATAGCCGGGGGCAGAGTTGTGGATGGCTTTAAAAATGATTGTTAATATTTTGAATGTTATCCTTTGGGCCATTGGAAGCCAGTGGAGGGATTGACAGAGGGGGGTTGCAGACACTGAGTGGTTGGTTAGGTGAATGAGTCTAGCAGCAGCATTCATGATAGACTGGAGGGGGTATCAGGGAAGGTATCGGAGTATTTTGAGCGAGTACAAATACTCTGTATCAGTGCATCCCTGTTACATGACATGCAGTAGCACATTTAGATGGACTGGCCCAGCAAATGAATGCCGAACTCCAGCTAACACTTTACAAACAGATATAGCAATAGATTTGTTTTCCTATTGGGATACAGGTTTTACATTAATAAATAAAAGCTGACCACTGTAATCACCGCTGTCAGTGGTAAATGGTTTGCAGGGCAGCCATCAGAAATTTTGGGGCCCCTTACACGGCTTTAGGCCGGGCCCCCCCCCCGCCGATGGACACGGGGCTTTGTGACGAGCTGCACGCAGGGCTTAGTGACGCGCTGGACACAGGACCCACCTGAGAGTGACCCTGCAGAGCCCACCATAGATGCTGCATTCCATCTGAGACTGTCTATGGTGGGCTCTGAAGGGGTCTCAGGTGGGCTGGTCAGGGCTGCATCGCTCCCCTCCCTCCCCTCCCTCCTTTCCTTCCCAGCTCCTCTTACCTGCACACATGGCCTCGTCTGCCGCCGGACAGGCCAGAAGTGACGTCACATCACTAACGTGACGTCACTTCCGGCCAGTCCGAGATCAGAGGAGCAGCATTGTTGATGGGACCCAAGCTTGTGTCAAAGCTGCTGCAGCGGCAATGCTGGACCCCTGCGCTGCTAGGGCCAGGCCTCCACCTCCTCGCCCTTCACCGCCAGCCGATAGTCATGCAAGGGACCCGGGCGGGCCCCCCAGGCTGCCCGGGCCCCTTACATGAGTATCGACCATACCCCCCC